GCCTTCTCCCGCCGCGCAATAAACGGAGCGCTCGTTCTGCAGCCTCACGAAAGGGGCGATCCGGTTCGGTTGCGGGCGAGGGCCTTGAGCTGTCCCGTAGCCTCCGCCCACCAAACCAGGGCATTCCCGTTCATCTCCCCTGCGCCAGTGCGGTCTTGGCCTTTTGAGTGCGGGGCGCGAGCACGGTCTGGTGGGAATTTAGAATTAATTTCGCAGCAATCTTGCCAACTAGAAATTTTCGAGGAGGTGTCGTGCCCTCCGCTGACGTCACCTGGTACGTGGCTGCCCGCTGACTAAGTCCATGCCCGCGGTGTACACCCCGGGCCATCAACAAGGCCGTGAGCACACAGAACAACTCCCGCCACACACTTGCACTTCACCGCAGAGGTACGGCCTCTTCACATCTACCGGCACTGTTGGTGTGCCGGCTGTTCATGCACCTAACTCACCTAGCTCTTCACCATTCAGCCACAACTCATCAAGCAGAGCGGCGACCCCACGCACCGCCAACAGCACCCCAAACGGCCGACAGAGAATTACGGTTGAATTTTGGGGTTGGAGGCACACAACCAACAACTCGCGCCCACAGCCGATCGCCGCGGTTGCCGTGAGCTCTTCGTGGCCACTACATCTTCTGCCTCAACCACCCACTCACCAGCCACCGCCCGACCCTTCATTTCTGCACCGGGACACAACCAACGCCAGCAGCAAGCAAACGAAGGATTGGAAGGACGGCGAGAGGGGCAAACGAAAGGCGAAGCATCGAACAACAGAATTTAATTGAGGAGGAAATCGAGAGGCGAAAAAATCCGTATTGTACAGAGGTGAGATGAGAGCAGGCCAGCCCATAGCGTTTGAAGAGGAGGAGCGGAGGGGCTGGCTCGAGCTCCTCCTGAACCGCAAGAAGGGCAATGGAACGAAGAAAAAGGGATTCGATCCGGTGCTGGCGCGAGCAGGCACGGTGCAAGATTTGCGACGGGCGGCAAACGAAACCAAGCCGGGGCGAAATGAGAGCGTACTGATGGAGCATGCGAGGCACCGCAAATGGAAGGACGATTTGGACACCGATACGCTTCATGCAAAGGTTTCGAACCCCAAGAAACCTCCCGCCTTCCTTCGTGAAGACGAAGGCGACGATCAATCGAACAGTACGTCCCGCATTCTCCTCGCCAGCGTTGTTGCTCATCTCCCTTCTTCTTTTCGCAGTGTACTTCCATCTGTTTTTGTTGGAGTACTTCTGGCAGCTGAGCGCGTTCGACCACGGCCGCTTCCGCACGGTCCTCCTTCACCTCATGACCACTGGCGTGCGTCTCGCCCTTCTCTTTTCCTTTCCTCTTCCTTTTCTCTTCTTCTTTTCTTTGTGTGTGCCACGTCACGTCGGTCCTTTTTTGTCGTCGCATTCCGTTCCGCACGGCGCATCGGCTATTTCGAAGAAGGGTGGAGTTCTCTCATAGAGGACGAAGCCACACCCGCTTTTCTCTCCGTCTCGCTTTGTTGTTGTGTGTGTCTGCAGTACTACCCGTTCTGTGGCTCTGTGCCGGCGGCAGCGGGAAGCCATCACTTTCCTTCATCGCGTCTTTTACATCGAGTGTTTTCACAAAGATAACACTGCGAGAAGAGCGACAGCGCTAACTCACATTTCGCCCTGCACACTCGACGTGGCCCACCGCGATGCAACGCACCACGCGCAAACAGATATTCGACATGTCGTACGACCACTTCCAGGCCCTTCTGTTGGACAAGAACGCTACCTCGGCCGCTGCCAAGGCCATGCCGCCTGGCCTGCACTCGCTCCTGCGCAACATCCTCAAGGAGTACAAGACCAACGGTGCCGATCGGCTGACCTACCTCCTTGGCTCCAGCGCTGCTACGCAGAACACCGCGGCTGCCGGACCTTTGCGCGTCTCGCGATCGTCCAAGGCGGCCGCCACCGCAGCGGCCATCGGCCTCGCCGATCCTTCCATGTTCATGCGCGACAGCAAGGACGCCGGCGATCACAAGCTTCTGCCGCGCTCGCGCTTTGCGCTGCGGGCGTCGTCGCGTGCCGCGCTCCCGCGACTGCCGCGCCACTTCTCGTCGCCGTGCCTGCCGATGCAGATCCTGTGCCCCAACCCTTCGTCGTCGGCCCTGCCGCCGCTGGCTCTCCCCTACTCGTCGCCCTACCTCCCGTTCACAAATTCCCGCTATGCCGAAGAGTTCGTCGAAGACAGCACCCTGGGCAATGGTGGATTTGGCACGGTATTCAAGGTATGTATGCGCCACACTCTGGCTAGCACCGAGCGCCGTTTCCATGCGCTTTTTTCTCACTCTCCTTCGTGAACGCGCAGGCTCACCGGCTATTGGATGGCCGGGTGTACGCCATCAAGAAGATCCACTTTCGTGTCTCACAGCGGTACTTGTTTGCCCTCTTTGAGCGCCGAACAGCGTCGATCCTTCGCTTTTCTAGGAACTCATCACCTTTATTGTCCGGCTTCGTCGTCGTCTTCTTCTTCAGTTCGACGCGCAAGCTCGAAAAGGTGGTGAGAGAAGTGCAAGCGCTGGCCTCTCTCGACCATGTAAATGTTTGTAGATATTATAATGCCGTACGTCGCCTCTCTTCCCGTCAACATGCGATTGCCACATCCGACTCACCGGCCGGGTCACTTCAGTGGATTGAGCCCATTCAGGCGCACGATCTGGAGGAAATGCTGCGCAAAGCCGAGAACTCGTACGAGGCGAGCGAGGAGTCGACTCTCAGGTACGCTCGCCTCATGCTTTGATCATCGTCCAAGGCATCTTCTAAAGTTTGTGTGCGAGCAGCGTCGATATACCAAGAAACCCGCTTGACGCCACGGAACTGCTGTCGACGTCGGAGAGCGTGTCGTCCCCGCTGCTCGAGCTGGACCGACGGAAGGGTTGTATCTCTGGCATCACCGAGTGGAAGGAGAGCGCCTTCAGCAACGAAATCGGCGACGAGGAAGAGGACGACTGCGACTACTTCGACCGCGGCACACCATCGACCGACGACGATGCGTCCAGTAAAGGCAACGGCGATGATGACGATGAAGACGACGACATTTTTGAAAGGCCGACCCACAACAAAAAGGACACCGAAGGCGAAGATATTGAGGCTGCCGAGCTCGAGGAGGCGAGCATCGAGGACGAAGACGATGACGAAGATGATGACGCTAGCCAAACAACAGGGTTCTTCCCCGAAGACGCAAGCGACTTCTTCTCGAACGAGTTTGCCGGCGACAGCGGCAGCAGCAGCAGCAGCGGTCAGGAAAGCGCGAAGGACGTAACGGTGGTGAAGAAGAAGAAGAAGAACACGAAGAAAACGAAAGCGGTGACGAGGCCGGCGAAGCGTTCCGGCAGCAAGCTGAAGCGGTCGATGAGCCGAAAGCGAAGCCACGATATCGCGAAGGCCAAGGCGAAGGCAAAGGCAAACGCAAAGCGAGGGTTGACCCGAGGCCTCAAGGCCGGTGCGGTGCTTCCACGGCTGAGCCTTTCGCCCGAAGGGCAGCTGGTGCCCTGGCGGCCCAATGACGTCGGCGACAACAGTGACGACGACGACGACGAGCACCACTCTGGTGACGAGGCGAAGGTGGTGAGTGGCAGCGCGCCGCTCACGCACACCCTCTACATCCAGATGCAGTGCTACGACGACATCACCCTCCAACACTGGCTGGTATGTAGAATAATTCTCCTGTCTGCTCGCCGATAGCGCTCTCTGTAGTCTCGGCCTTTCACAAGATGCGTTGGCCCACCTTTTTTTCTGATCTCGTGTGTGCGTGTACGAAAACAGTCGCGAGAAGGCCGCACGGTGGTGCGGGAGGAGAATCTGCATATCTTCAAGCAAATGGTCGAGGCCTTGCAGCACGTGCACTCCAAGCACATCATCCACAGAGACCTCAAAGTGCGTAACTACAGCTTTCGATTGACATCCGCTTTTCTCACATTTTGTGTTGTTGTTGCGTTGTGTGTCGTGCAGCCCGCGAACGTGTTCTTGTGCGATGGCGTGGTGAAGCTGGGTGACTTCGGACTCGCCAAGCGCAAGGTGTTTGTGGGCGACGCCGACGCCGATCACAGCGCCAAGAATTCGTACGAGGACGGAAAGACCAGTGGCAAGAGCATGGTCGCCCATCACGCCAAGGGCCAGATGCTCGAGGAGCACACGGCGGGCTGCGGCACGCTCAGCTATTCTGCGCCCGAGCAGCGGACAGCGGGAGGCAAGTACTCCGAGAGCGTGGTACGTACCGCACTGTGCGTGCGCGTGCGTGTGTGCGTGTTCTTGTGAGAGCGTAGCCTTACCAAGGACGTGTGCAGGACATCTACGCATTGGGCATTATCCTGCTGGAGCTCTACCACCCGTTCGGCACGGCCACGGAGCGGGTGCTCGTTCTCTCGGACCTGCGCGAGAAGTTGGTCCTGCCGCCGCACATCCCTCTCATGTTTCCCGAGGAGGTACTGCGAAGCGTCCCACACTCGGCACGCGCCTTCGCGCATCACCAGGCCTGGCGTTCACACTGGCATGACACTAACGTGTTGCCGTCACCTCTCTTTCGGGCCACATACAGGCGAGCGTGATCATGCGAATGCTGTCTCCGCGCCCCGAGCTGCGTCCGTCGGCTGCCGAGCTGCTCGCCCTCCCGCTCCTCTCACAGCACAAGCACGAAGAGGTGCGCTCCCCCCCAATAAACACCTGTGCAGGTGGCTACGATTATCTTTTATGATGCTAAGTGGTCGCTGTGGTTGTATGCAGTCGTTGGAGCGGCTGAACGAAGAGCTGGAGAGCAAGAACCGGCTCATCGAGAAGCAGCGCAACGAGCTGGCCGAGCGCGAGAGCAAGATTCGCGAACTGGAGCGCCAGCTTGCCCGCCTGGCTGCAGCAGGAGCCGGCTCACCAAACACCAACACCAACACCAGTCCCTCTCCGTTGTCGCCTTGAGTCATCTCCGGACACCGCTCCTGTTTGCTCCTGCTGTGCTTCGGGTGGTTGGTGCCAACAAAGAAAAGCTGCGGCCGCCAATCGCGAAAAAAAAAAAAACCCAACACGCTACACGGAAGGTGGAGGGTCTCCGGCAGAGATTTCAGATGCGTTATGTCAGGTGCTGGCCGGCAACCTTGTGCTCCTTGTCGTGAAGCTCATACCCTCTGCGACAGGTTGCCCACGCCCCTATGCATTTTGAATTCATCGAATGTGCTTTCATCTTTAATCCTAAACTCGTGAGTTTGAATGTCTTCTTTAGAGCAGAGCCGTGCGGTCGATGCGTGCAGCTGGGCAGGGCCGATGCATGCCGTGTGGTCCCAGGGCGCAAGCGCGGACGGCCGAGCAAGGCTTCCAAGACCCTCTCCAATCACAGCAGCAAGCAGCAGCGCCCAGTCACATCTGCACCCGCCCCCAGTGCTGGTGCTCCTCTCCCCCACAACGTTGCTGCCGGTGGTGAAGGCGATGGAGCGGACGACCAACAACTCTTCATGCTGAAGACCCTGGTGACGATGCTGGTCGACGACATGCGGAACGTGAAGAGGCAGAACATGGAACTGAGCGCGGAGGTCAGCAAGCTGCGCGAGTATAGGAAGCAGAGCCAGCAGCGAATTCGGCAGCTCGAGCGCCTACAGCAGCAGAATGCCAACAACATCAGCACTCTCATCGCTCACATCACCTCCACGTCGACCTCCTCACCGCCATCGACTTCATCCCTGCCATCGCCATTTACGACCGCTTCAACTTCCGCTTCCGCTTCCACTTCGACATCAACTTTGTCGTCAACGATACCTGCCCAGTCTGCCCTCTCGTCATCTATGCTCTTCTCGCCGTCGTCGTCGTCATACCAGCAGATCAAGGCGGTGCCCTTTTCATTCCCTCCGCCTCCGGCGTTATTCTCCAGTAGCGATGGGCTCGACATGGGCGCGCCGTTCCCGCGCGCTGCGTCGGTTTTCCAAGCGTTGCCCTTTCTACGCGACTACAGCGGAGCCAGGCTCATCATAGCCGACATCAGGTTCGTCAGTTCTGGTCATCCTCTCGGTCGACGCTGTGAGAAATCACCCTCACCTTAGATTGCAATCAAAACCCACGCACACACACGCACACGCACGCACGCACAACAGCCAAGCGTTCATCGTGCTGCGCTCTGTGAAGAAGACGGACAGTCCGGCCATCTCGTACTGCTCGCCCAGTGCCGGCACGCTCTTGGGCTACTGGCCTGTACCTATCTCTTCGCAAAGCGATTCTTGCATTAGCTCGCACTAGACACGATAGGGCTGACCACACACACACCACACACACACGGCACGACTGCGGTCACGCGTACACGCAGGAGGAGCTGATGAACCGACCCATCACGGACATCGGGTGTCCCGACGTTGACACGACGGTGGTGCTCATGGTGGAGATCCAGCGCAGGCCACCACCCGGCCGCGTGGGAACGCCCTTCACCACCAGCTTCACTTGGCAGCTCAAAAGCGGCGAGGGCTGCCGAATCCAATGCCAGCACCAGAACTTGTGGCCCGGCCCGCCGGTACAGGAGCTGCCAGCCCCTTCCAAGTGTTCCATTCCAAGTGTTGTGGCGCGTGATGCGTGGTGCGTGATTAACTTTGGTTTGATTTCCAAATAGGGGCTTCCTCAAACCAAGTGGCACCTGGTGCGGTTTGACCGGGTGGTCGAGGACGGGTTGCCCTCACCCGCACCGCCGGACTTGGCCTCGTTGCTTCATGACCCGCTCCTGCAATCCCTGCTCCGCGCCAAACGTATTGCTCGCCGTTCCGCCTCTTCCCTGCTCCCTGCTGTGCCGGCAGCACCACCAGCGGCACCATCGCTTTCTGCGGAGGCGCAGCAGGCTGCAGAGCAGGGCAACGTCGACGATGCTGGCTTCGATCGAAGAGAGGACCAGCTCCCTCAGCACCAGTCGGAGAATGGTGACCTGTTCTCCGCCGTCGGCCAGCAGGAGCTCGACAACGACACACTCGACCTGGACGAGCTGGTCGCCGACATGCTGCGCTCGCCTCCCGACAGCGGCGGCGGCGGCGGCGGCCAACTGTTCTCAAGCCTGGCCGACGACATCGGGTTTGCATAGCGCCAGGCCATGGAGCACCCGTGCCGTGGCCGTGCCGGCTGAATGAAGCGCTGGAGAGGAAGAGACGGCGCAACGAGAGATGCAGCGCAACGAGCTGGCCGAGCGCGAGAGCAAGATTCGCGAACTGGAGCGCCAGCTTGCCCGCCTGACAAACGCTCTCCCCTTGCCCAGGCTCGGAGTTGCAAGCGGCCGCCCGAATGGCGGAGTTGGTAAGGTTTATATGCTATTGGCGGCCGCAGTCTTTCTTTTTCTAGGCAAGCGCCACCCGAAGCAGCACAGCGTGACCAAGCGTAAGTCGCCGGGGGTGTGTTGAAGAGAGGCATAGGGTACCATCGAGGGCTTCTCCGTCATGTCGTTGGTCGGTGATAGCAGGAAAGCTTGTGCTCCTTGCCGTGAGGCTCACGCTCTGTGCGACAGGTTGCCCCCCCCCGCCCAAACACCCCCGGGATCAACTGACTCTTTGTCTCCCAAGGGCGGCGCCGTGTCGTCGGTGCGCGCAGCTGGGCACTGCCGATGCGTGTCATGCGCCCCCGCCGCGCAAGCGCGGACGACCCAGCAACGCTTCCAAGGCCAACTCCGATGGTAACAAGCAGCAGCGCCCTAGCGCTTCTCCTCTTAGGCCAAGCAACGACAGGTCAGGAGGAGCGGACGACCAACAACTCTTCATGCTGAAGACCCTGGTGACGATGCTGGCCGACGACATGCGGAATGTGAAGAAGCAGAACAGGGAGCTGAGCGTAGAGGTCAGCGAGCTGCGAGCGCTTCACAAGCAGAGCCAGCAGCGGATTCGGCAGCTCGAGCGCCTGCAGGAGCAGAACGACAGCCGCATCAACGCCCTCATAGCCCACATTCTCACATCCTCCACCTTCACCTCATCACCGCCATCGCCATCGACCTCGACCTTGTCATCAACCATGCCCGCCCAGTCTGCCATCTTGTCATCTTCTACGACAATCTCGAGGAGCGAGGGGCTCGACATGGGCTCGCCATTCCCGCGGGCCTTGTCGGTTTCCCAAGCGTTGCCCTTCCTTCGCGATTACACCGGAAGCAGTCTCGTCATCGCCGACATCAGGTTCGTCCGTTCCGATGAGCTCTAGACGCCAGACCGTGTTGAAACAGCATCGCCCTTACATACACTCACGCGCGCGCACACCACCGCACACCGCACACCGCACCACACGCTCTCACACCAGCCAAGCGTTCATCGTGCTGCGCTCTGTGGAGAAGACGGACAATCCGACCATCTCCTACGGCTCACCCAGCGCCTGCGCTCTCTTGGGCTACTGGCCTGTACCTACTGCCCTGCCACCTCCACCACACAAGTGGGCTGACGCACAGCACGCGCACACGCAGGAGGAGCTGGTGAGCCGCCACATCACAGACATCGGGTACCCCGACATTGACACACTGGCAGTGTTCATGGCGGCGATCCAGTGTGAGCCACCGCCCACACGCGTGGGACCGCCCTTCACCACCAGCATCGTGTGGCGGCGCAAGAGCGGCGAGGGCTGCCGAATCCAATGCCAGCACCAGAACTTGTGGCCCGGCCCGCCGGTACAGCTGCATTCCATTCTGTGCGTGTGCGGTGATGTGCTTGCGTGTGCCTGTCCGTGAATAGGAGCGTTAAACTGCAGTTTGATTCCACTTTAGGGGCTTCCTCAAACCAAGTGGCACCTGGTGCGGTTTGACCGGGTGGTCGAGAGCGGGCTGCCCTCACCCGCGCCGCAGGACCTGACCTCGTTGCTTCATGACCCGCTCCTGCAATCCCTGCTCCGTGCCAAGCTTGCGCTCTATTCTACGCCTTTCCTGCTCCACTCTGTACCACCAGCGGCACCATCGCTTTCTGCGGAGGCGCAGCAGGCCGCAGACCAGGGCAACGTCGACGATGCTGGCTTCGATCGAAGAGAGGACCAGCTCCCTCAGCACCAGTCGTGGGACGAGAACGGTGACCTGTTCTCCGCCGTCGGCCAGCAGGAGCTCGACAACGACACATTCGACCTGGACGAGCTGGTCGCCGACATGCTGCGCTCGCCTCCCGACAGCGGCGGCGGCGGCGGCGGCGGCGGCGGCGGCCAACTGTTCTCGAGTCTGGCCGACGACATCGGTTGTGCATAGCGCCAGGCCATGCACCCCTTATTCTTGTTGTTCTTGGTTGCACTGTAGTTGTTGTGTTGTTGATCTTACAAGCTGGTGAAGGGCACAGAGCGCCTACTGGCCCGAGGGGCCGCCAGCACGTGGGTGGTTGGGCGCACCACGAGCCCCACCACCACCGCCTCCGCTGCCGCGACGCGGGCCCCCCCTCTGGGGCTTTCGCTGCTTGGTGGCGGTCGCTGTCTGCTGTGGGTGCGGCATGAAGACTGACGCGACTTGCTCCTGATAGGGCGGCGGCTGGTACGGCTGGGCCTGGCGCTGGGCGGGCTGCGAGACAACGGGCGCTTGTTGGTATTGTGGGCTGATTCGGGCCAGCTCGGCGAGCAGCCGTCGGTTCTCGGCCTCGAGCGTCGCGATGCGCTGCTCGAAGGCGGCCCTGGCGCGCTGGGTCTCAGCTTCGACGGCGGCTAGCCGGGCGGCCATGTTGGCGTTGAGCTGGTTGAGCGTCTGCACGCTTCGCGTGAGCTCGTCGATGCGCGGGTCGGCAGCAACGACGGGCTTGCGCTGCGCGTTGACTGCGGCTTCGTCATCGTTGGCGTGCACGACGGTCCAGTAGGGTTCGTAGTCCTCCTCGACCTCGATGGCCTCGAGCTCGTTGTAGACGAGCAGTGTAGCGAAGGCGTCGGTGGCGGCGTACGAGAGCTGTTCGGGGGTGAGCTGGCGGTTGGCCCAGTTGCTGCGCGCCTTGCCCTTGGCCAGGCGCTGGCCGAGGAGCTCTTGCGCAAGCGAGGCCAGGCCCAAGCGCTCGTACCCGAGCTCGCGCGCCATCTCAGACACATCGAGCAGCCCTCGTGGGGTGAGAAAGTACTGAGCACGCAGCTTCTTCAGATCGTTGTATACATTGAGCCCCACCTGCAAATGAACAGGAAATCAAATCAAATCAATCAAATCAATCGAAATACGATTAAATTGCTTCCACCTGGTGAACGGAGCTCGGGTTGTAACCTTCAAGAAGTACTTGTCGAGAAGCAGC